GTGTGAGAGAGGCGTGGTCAGCAAAGGGTCCTCCCAGGAGGTGATGCCTGAGTGGACTTTTAATGGTAAGCACTTCAGGCTGGCCCAGCTGAACATGTTCAGCATCTACGTAAGGTTTAAATTTATACAAATACTCTTTTATTTCCCTATCTCCAAGTTAATACATTTACAAAGTGAATTGTAATGCATTTGATTTTATATTGGGGCTTTCAAATGATCGAAACTCAGGAACTTTTTATCTTGATGCTGTTGTTCGTGGTTTGGCTTTTGTTTGTTTTGTTTTTTTGAGATGGAGTCTCTCTTTGTTACCCAGGCTGGAGTGCAGTGGCGCAATCTCAGCTCTCTGCAATCTCCGCCTCCGGGGTTCAAAGGATTCTTCTGCCTCAGCCTCCTGAGTAGCTGGAACTACAGGTGCATGCCACCATGCCCGGCTAATTTTTGTATTTTTAGTAGAGATGGGGTTTCACTATATGGCAAGGCGGTTTCGAACTTCTGACCTCGTGATCTGCCTACCTCAGCCTCCCAAAGTGCTGGGATTACAGGCGCAAGCCACCACACCTGGCCTATTGTTTTTTGTTGTTGCTGTTGTTTTGTTTCTAAAAGGGTATTTAGGTAGCTGGGCATAATCAGCCAGCTGGTCTTCAGGAAATAGTCTTTGGTTTAGCAAGGGATGTTGACAAAATCTGCTTTGAGCATGTAAACACACTCCGTGGATCTCCTTATCTTTGCCTCCTTGTCCCTTTCAGCTCTTCCCTAGAGAGTCTTCAGGTCATGAGTCACGGGCTTGTGGCGCTCTTACAAGGATAGCGCCAACCTGGATGTGAGAGAGTTGGGTCACTGTTTATCTCTCCCTTAAGCATCTGGTACCTGAAAGAAGGCAGATGGCCAGAGAGGGACTCTTTGGGCTACATAAAAGCATCACATTTTGGAAAAATTGTCTTCTTCATACCCAGCCCTTGTCGGGGTTAATTTTAAGATATGAAAGGATAGCTATTACCAGAAACATTAATATAATGATTCCCAGTCATTGTGTAAAAAATAAAGCTTAGCCATAGCATGTGACTTGTGGGACTGGCTTATATGGCAGTCACTATAAACCATATCATCTCTTATCTCTCTTCTGATGAATGTCCCTCCCCTTTTTTTAGTACAGGTACTTTATGAAACAGTGAGAACTCATAAATGCACACGCAGGTGCTGAACATCTTGTAAAAAACCCACAGACATAACTCCTGCACACGTAAATTCCATCTAAACAAACAAGGCCGTGATATGTGTGTGGCTGCCTGAAGTTACATATGGATTTGAACTTGAGTGACTGTTTACTGAATGCTTACTAAGTGCCAAGCCTTGGAATGAATCCTTTTCATATACTAGCTCATGTAATCCTCACAGCATCCCCATGAAATAAAGCACTATTATTTTATCCATTTTACACATGAAAAGACTGAGGTTTAGAAAGCTTGTTACCTAGACAAAGGTCCTATAAATAGGGAGCATAGATTATAAATGAGCCTTAAAGAATCCATAGACAGAAGCACCTAGCAATTTGTCACTGTTACAGACCTAGTAAACGATGGAGCCAGGCCTTGAAGCCTGATCTGACTCCAGAACCTGTGCTATTAATTACCACATTGCTCTGGCCACTTTGTGCCAATAATGAATTTATCAGTTCCTCTGGTGAACTGGGGGTGATTCATTGCTCAGTTTCCCGCTAGAGTCACCACACTAACTTTGCTAATTGAAACTGGTCTGAGAAGTATGTGCTGAGTATGCATTTCCTATTTAGGATTATCCTCCGCGTTCCCCATCAGGAGTGAAACTGACCAAGCCCATGGATAAAATCCCCTTTATCCATATTTAAAGGATCCTTACTTCACTTAGCAGTTTAAAACAATTGTTTCTTCTTTCACAGAGTGGGAAAATCTGAGTGGTTTTACTGGATCCTTTGTGGATGTGTAGGAATGTCCCAGTCTTATACCGTGAAGAAAACGTGTGGTGCTTCATCTGTTCTCTCTGTTTAGCATTAGTTCAAAAATTTAATCTTAGAGCACCAATTCCTCTGTGTAGAAATACTCATTGATGGAGCTAGAGTCGCAGCCATGGAGATATTTTGTCATCTGGAACATCCTTATTAGATTCTGGGCTTCTGAAGGCCAGGTGAAGTATAAATAAAATATGGCCAGTTTTCTCTGGCAGAGTTAAGCCTTGGCACTTGAGTACATTCTTGCAGTGTGTCTTTTGCTTCCTTGCTAAGGAAATTGGTAAGTAGGCAGAATAGCAGGGGATTAGGGGAAAAGCAATTCAGTGTGGTTAAGTTGCCACTGTGGCAAGACCATAAGCGCATGGAAGTTTACAGAGTGCTGTTTGGTGGTGATGAACTCTCTCTGCCTATTGTCTTTTCATTCAGACATCAGATGTGCTGTTTGATCTTTTAACACATCTGCTCCATTGGAATGTCACAGGTAATAAGTACACAAGAAGCAAGAAAAAAATTGCTTATTTACTGAAGTGACAAATTATTTTTGTGTCTCCAAGTAATTCCTTTCCTACAATCTTAATTTGTGTGATAAAAAGCTCATTGCCAGGAAATTATGTAGCATTTGCTTAGGCTTCATCCTGAACACATAAGGCTTGGTAGAGTTTCCCTGAAGTTTTTATTTTAGGTGTCCTGAGATATTCTGGTGCTCAACGGGCAGAAGAAATGGTTCATATTGTTATTCAGGTGTTATTAAACCTAGGTCACATTCAAATCCATTAAGCAGCAGCCTCAAATCCTGTTAATTAATAGGTTCAGATTGGTTGGTCTAAAGAAGCTAATTAAATTTTCTCCCAAGATTTTCTATTTAAATAGACAAACATTGCGCTGCTTGCATTTCCTCCAGAGCTGGTCTTTGAAATTTAGAGTTGATAAAGGTATCCATACTTGATGGCAGGCCTTGATTTTCAGAGGTCAGGAAGCACTGTGGTTCTCTGACTAAACCTGCAGAGATCCTGATCTGCGTCTTCTAGTACCTTTCTTCTCAGTCAGAAAGTTCTGGACTCCCTGTGATACCTTGCGCCCAGCCGTGGCCTGACAAAAGTTATCTGTTTTCCACTGGAGAGCTAGCACATCCTCTAGGAGAGGGCAGATCACAGAGATCACAAGCCTGGAGTATAACAACCCTGGATTCTTCATATTCCATAAAGCTGGGACATCCTGGGACTAGTACATCCCACTGTTTTCTTCCATTTTTTTCTGAAGCCGTCAGATCTCCCCCACCTATGAGCCACCTGCCCAGGCCACACCCCATAGTTAAAATTTCTCTCTGACAATCTCATTTCTGTTAGCTGTATAATAAGAGTAAAATGCAGAGCAGGAGCTTCCTAGTGATAGTAGAGCTCTCCTTTATCCTACAGCTTCCAGGCGCCTAGCTACCAAGTTTTCCTCATCACCACCCCCACGCCTCACCCGTGATCTCCGGTGGTTCTACTGCTCAAGGGGAAATGACCCAGCCAGCATTAGGAGGAGCTCTGCTGGCCTCTCAAAGCTTCTTTTCTCCCTAACTCCCTGGCCTGTGGATGTCTCTGGCATTACGATCATGTGGTTTGCAGGAAATAAAAGTTTATTCTTTTAAAAAACCAAAAAGATTGAGTACCCTGTTGTGTGCAAAACAAAAGTGAATAGGACCAGAAAACCTGAGATGTTAGTGCTTTGCCCCAGAATTCCTTCACGAGCTCCCTGGTTCTCCAGTATGTCACATATGGGCTGTGCTCAGGGCTGGCCTGACACATGTAGCCCAGCAGCTTTGGCCTGGCACCCTCCAGCTGAACCTTTCTAAATGATGGTTCAGTTAGAGCAGCTGCAAAGAGAGGAGAGCTGGTGAGAAATAGGGGATTACTGTGAAAAGACAAAGGTAAAAGAGAGCCCAGCATGCAGCTAAATCTAGTTGAGCCATCTCCTTCACCCCCAGCACTTGGCCATGTGGTAGGTGATGCTCTGTGTGAGGGCAGAAGGAAAGGATGCCCTGGGGCCCAGTTATCCTTTCTCACTTAATGTGCCTCTGGGGACTAGAACAGAACAGGCTCCTTGATGCGGGTAGGGAGGACACAGCTTCATCAAGCCCAGGCTTGGACCCTGCCCATCAACAACCTGCGGTGCTCCAGCAGTGAGAAGTACACCCACTGAGATGGTATGTGCCAAGGCATTTCTGGGAGCAGTTATTTCATTTTTGGACCCAGGAAATCAGCACCACTGAACTGCAGCTTGCCCCTCTTTGTCATTGTGGCTCCGAGCTGCGGTGGTTGCTCTGAGGACTCAGAGCAAGTTGTTGCTGCCATCTATGGTCTGTCTTGGGGAAGCACATGGTTTGCCTGCTGGAAAGGGAAGCAGCTGCCTTGCAGATTGAGCAACACAGCACCCTCTCTCTATCTGAGGGGAAAATAAACACCAAGATGTTGGTGTCCCCCAGTGTCAAACCCATTATGAAAACCTGTGTTTACTGACCTACCATCATTTTAAAGCAGTTCCATTTGAACTGCAATCAAATCTCCAAGTGACCTTTCTGTCCCTCCGCCCAGCATGCCTGAAAGGGCCTGTTGTTTCTTTGGTTCAATGAAGAAACCTTCTGTTTAGTTAAGCAAGTGTTTTTCCAGTCATGTCTCCTGGTGAGTTACAGAAAGATTATTGTTGGGTCGTGGTGGTGGTGGTGGTGGTGGTGGTGGTGTTTTCTTTAATACCCCAACCTCCCTAACCCCTTGATATCCCCAGACACTTAATTTTTTTCTTCCTTAGTGGAAGAGAGCACAGTGAGCTGAGCAGCTTTGTGGAGCCTTTAAAAGTTTGTCATTTTTTCAGATCCTGGTGTAAGCTGACTTCTCTCTGCCCCACTCCCTAGGGCCTGGGAGTCTTCCAAAGTGAGGTGTACACACGGGAATGGGCCACAGAACCGCCCCCTGCAAGCCAGGAATGCGCGTCCTGCCTGATATGTTTATATAGTGTGTGGTTTTCTGTCTTACAGTTGTTTGTTGGACTTGGGTTCCCTTACGAGGGCCCAGCTCCCCTGGAGGCTATCGCAAATGGATGTGCTTTTCTGAATCCCAAGTTCAACCCACCCAAAAGCAGCAAAAACACAGACTTTTTCATTGGCAAGCCAACTCTGAGAGAGGTAAGCATCTGTCAAAAGTATTCTACTTTGAATAATATGAATAATAGCTATTTATTGAGTGCTGGTGTCGATATTAACTTTATTTAACTTGGTTGGGTAGGAGATGAAGATGTGGAGGCTTAGAGAGACAAATGACCTGATCATGTCATCACCTTTCGAGTTAGGGCCAGTATTTGAATCTGTTTCTGCCTTCACCAAGTAAGGGATCTTGACACTCTGCCCCAACTCTAGCTTACTGTAAACTCAGACATCCTAGCCTTCTGCTTATAGCTGAACTCTGATTTCCTGAATGTTCGGAGTTCAAGGAGTGAGGTCAACTGGTTAGCAGATATATATGCAGAATCTGCTCCCTGTGATGGGCTTTGGAGAATAAAAAGTGGGCTGTGGGAGTTTTCAAAGAACGTCAACCTCAGGATACCAGGACTATTGTGGGTAGTTGAAGTAATGTGACTTATTTTTCACCCACCATCCCGAGATGTAATCCTGACATTGCTAGAACCATTTACAGAAGCCTCATTTGAATTGCCTTCAGAGATCCTGTTGAAAATCTGCAGTGTGTGATGCATCACCGTTGAGGGTAGTTGGATTTGATTTAGGGCAATAAACAAAAGTCTTTTACAGCTAAGTGTCAGTGATCAAGCTGGATGTTTATGCATCTGTCAGAAACAGGTGTGTGCAAGAAACCATAAGATTGATTTTCTCATTATTTCTGTGTAGTTAGTAGTAAGTGGCTCTGTAGGCTGCTTAGAAAGGTAAGTCATAGCAGCATCCTTGTCATTCAGGGCCTTTGATTGGGGGATTACATTGATGAGCAGCTCTCCTATGGCATATCAATGTAGAACGACAGTTTATAAAACATAATTTTTTCAGTTCTGCCTTTAGACCCTCTGAGTCATTTTCTCTCCCCAAGAGTAAATAAGGTGCATTTTCAATGATTATTTTTTATTGGTCAGTCAGAAACCTTGACAATTCACAGAACTGATTATTTTGAGAGTTATTTTTCTCTGACCCTTTCTGTCATTGGTGAAATGGCCAAAGGAGATAGAAGATCAATAAGATCCATAGTTTATCTACGAAAGGTTAATCTGTGGCCCAGATAACCAACAAGGGTTACCTGTGTATGTGTGTAGGTGGGAGATGGGATGGGGGAGGTTCCTTCTAGAATAATAATTTGAATTCTTCATTTGGGGAGTGGTTTTGTATTAAGAGGTCAGTTTATTCATTCATAACTCAGCAATACTTAATGCACATCTGTGTGCTAGGCGCTATAGGAAGTGATAGGACATAGAGACTAGGGACATTCAGTCTGCCATGAACCTATTCTTTTGAAAAGTTTAAAAAGATGCTACCCAGCAGTGAAAACATCTCAGTTTAGTAATCTCTGCTTTAGCATGTGACTGACTTGTTTGAAACTTTGGAATTTGGGGTAGAACAAAAACGAATAAATCATTCCTTGGGTTTTTTGTTTATTTTTGACAAATAAATATATTTAAGGTGTACACCTTGATGTTTTGATAAATAAACACATTGTGAAATAGTCATTACAATCAAGCTAATATCCATCAGCTTACATACTAAGTAGATTTTTTTTTTTCATGGCAAAAACACATGATCTCCTTTTTTGGAAAATTTCAAGTATGCAATGCAGTCTTGTTAACTGTAGTCATAATGCTGCACACTAGCTCTCCAGAACTTACTCAACTTGCTTAACTCAAACTTTGACCAACGTCTCCCCAGTCCCCGTGCACCAGTCTCTGGGAATCACAAATCTATTCTCTGCTTCTGTCACTATTTTACATGCCACAACAATGTGGGATCATGTAGAATTTTCCTTCTGTGTCTGGCTTATTTCACTTAGCATAATGTTTTCCACATTCATCCATGTTGCCACCAGTGATAGAATTTTCTTCTTTTGCAGGCTGAATATTTCATATACACGTAATTTGTTTATCCATTTATCCACTGAAGACCACTTAGTTTGGTTCCGTATCTTGGCCATTATGAATAACCCTGCAGTGTATATGGGAGTGCAGATGCCTTAACATACTGATTTTAATGGCTTTTGATATATACCCAGCAGTGGGATTGCTGGCTTATGTGGAGTTCTATTTTTTATTTTTTGAGGAACCTCCATTTTCTTTGTCATTATGGCTATAACATTATATTTTCACCAGCAGGGTACCAAGTTTTCCTTTTTTACCACATTCTTGCCAGGTACTTTCTATCTTTTGTCTTTTTGATAAAAACCATTTTTTTTTTTTTTTGAGGCGGAGTTTCACTCTTGTTACCCAGGCTGGAGTGCAATGGCACGATCTCGGCTCACGGCAACCTCCGCCTCCTGGGTTCAGGCAATTCTCCTGCCTCAGCCTCCTGAGTAGCTGGGATTACAGGCACGTGCCACCATGCCCAGCTAATTTTTTGTAGTTTTAGTAGAGACGGAGTTTCACCATGTTGACCAGGATAGTCTCGATCTCTTGACCTTGTGATCCACCCGCCTCAGCCTCCCAAAGTGCTGGGATTACAGGCGTGAGCCACCACGCCCGGCCTGATAAAAACCATTTTAACAGGCATGAGGTGATATCTCCTCGTGGTTTTGATTTGCATCTCCCTGATGATGAATGATGTTGAGCACCTTTTCATATGTTTGTTTGCCTTAAGTATATCTTCTTTTGAGAAATGTCTTCAGATTATTTGCCTGTATGTATGTGTGTGTATATATATGTATGTATGTATGTGTATATATACATATATACATACATACATATACATACATACATAGACACACACATATAACATTTTGTTTATTCATCTGTTGATGGATATTTGGGTTGTTTACACCTTTGGCCATTGTAATGCTGCTATGAACAGTGGTATACAAGTATTTTTAGTCTCTGCTTTCAATACTTTGAGGAGCCTACAAGTAGACTTGCTAGAATTTACTTTTTATTTTGAAATAATTTTACTGGCACAGAAAAGTTGCAAAAATAAAACAGAGTTCAGGCATGCCGTTCATCTAGCTGCTGCTATGGCAGCTTCTACGAAACTACAGCACAGTGGTCAAAACCAAGAAATTAACATTGGTACCATAGTATTGTCTAAACTACAGACTTTATTTGGACTTCACCAGTTTTTCCACTAAGATCCTTTTTCTGTTCCTGGATCCAGTTCAGGACCCACATTGCATTTAGTAGTCGTGTCTCCTTAGTCACCTCTGACCTGTGACAATTCAGTCTTTCACTGTCACCCATGACCTTACCACTTTTAAGGAACACAGGTAACCATTTTTTGTACACTTTCTCAATTTGGATTTGGCTCATGTTTTCCCATGATGTGTTTGAAGTTTTGCATTTTTAGCAAGAATATCCCAGAAGTGATGTACTGTTCTCAGCACATCATTTTAGGGGGCGTATGATGTCAATATGTCATACTGATTGTGATGCTAACCTTGATCACTTGGTTAAGGTAGTGTTTCCCATGTTAACTACGAAGTTACTCTTTTGCTCTTTTTCTCTATAGTAGGGCTAATACTTTGGGACTATGTGAATATCCTGTTATTCCTCAAATTTTTGTATCATACAGCAGTGGATTTGTATAGTATCACATACTATATAAATAATTATAGTATCATATAGCAGTGGATCATGTCTACAACAGTTATTACTGTGGTATTCTGATGGTGATTTTCTGTTCCCTCGTGATTTTTTTGTTGTTGTTGTTGTTTTGTTTTGTTTTGTTTTTTTTGAGATGGAGTTTCGCTCTTGTTACCCAGGCTGGAGTGCAATGGCGCGATCTCGGCTCACCGCAACCTCCGCCTCCTGGGTTCAGGCAATTCTCCTGCCTCAGCCTCCTGAGTAGCTGGGACTACAGACACGCGCCACCATGCCCAGCTAATTTTTTGTAGTTTTAGTAGAGACGGGGTTTCACCATGTTGACCAGGATGGTCTCGATCTCTTGACCTTGTGATCCACCCGCCTCGGCCTCCCAAAGTGCTGGGATTACAGGCTTGAGCCACCACGCCCGGCCCTCCCTCGTGATTTTTTAAATGCGTGCAAAGCAAAGAAGCCCATCTCTTTTCTTACTGCAGTTTCTACAGACAAGCCTTTGGGAAATGAGACAAGAGTATCTGAGATTAAATTGGCAACTGACACATTTTTCTTAATATTGCCTCTAAAGGTTTTAATGACACTGTGGACACTGAGTATTTTTTCCTGGAGAAAAAAAAAAAAAGGACACTCTTAAACAATCTGAGCATTGCCCAGTGAATGATGTAATGTTTCATGGATCAGATCAGCCAGTGTGACGTTATCAAGAAAAATATGTTAGTTGTTTTCTATCAGTTGCCATCATTTTGTAATTTACTTTTTGCAGAGGTCATGGAAGGTTTTCATTCTTCATGCTGTAAGAAGAGAATATGCATTAGAGCTGTCACACTGGCATTTGGTTCCTCCTGTCCCTTCATCCCTTCAGATTCCACCAGCTCTTAAATGTGATGCTGTTAGAGAAACTGTGGGATCCTTTCCACAGTTGCTCAGCGAGTGACCTCACACAGATGACTCCAACCGTCTTAGGCTCCCCCAGGAGGGCAGGATGCAGAGGGGAGTTGACAGGTGTTTAATGTGTCCCCACAGGATGGTACTAGTTGCTGCATTGGGAGAATTCATCAATGTACATTTCCTGTTTTTCCGGAGCTCCAAATCTGATATGAAAGAGTTATAGGACAGACATATAATCAGTGGAAGTGCATGAAAAAATAGCTAAGTGAATTCAGGAGGGGAGTTGAACTTAGAGTTGTGCCGGGTGGATGATGTGCAGGGTTAGCTGCTAAGGGGATAGTGGAGGGGCTGTGCTTTAAAGGGAAAGGAGAGCAGGTCTCAAGCCAGAGAAGCATGAATACTGACAAGCTGGGGAGGCCCCAAGAAGGGCAGTTTGCTTTATGCAAGAGGGCAGATGGTAATCTGATAGCTGGCTCCCTCCGGCAACGTCAGACAGCACTGAGAGGGACCAGTGAGCTTGATCTCATGACCAGGTGGGTCACCCTGTCCTGCTCTGTCAGCTCACAAAAGTCCCCCAAATCCCCCTAACCAAAGAAGCTTTTAATGGGAAAAGAGCTGTCAACAGGTCTATTTCTAAGAGTCAAAAATTCCCAGAAGTTATTTTTCTTCCTTAGCAAATGGAAACATTGTAACCAGAGTATGCATAATTACAAAGCTAATCTTGCATATCAAGCAGTAATTGATCCACATAAATTGATTATATCAACTTCATGTATGTCTCTTTGCCTTCATTTGAAAAGAAGAAAAGTCCAGATATCTAAATGTGAGTTTAGCTTGGTTTTTATTTTTGCATTGGACCAGTTTTTCAAACCGTGATGTCTACTCAGAGGGGGAAAAGTTCCACAATGCCTTAAGTAATGTGGCTGGTTCAGATGTTTTTTTAATATAAATTGGATTTTTACCTTTACTTTGGGAAACATATGAGTAAGTTCTTGATCATTATTCTCACATTTTGTAAGCCATTAGAAATACTCTGGCTTCAGGAGTTTTTTTTTTTTTTTTTCCTTTTTTTCCATAAAGAGAACTCATGTTCTCCTTGGAGATTTAATAGCCAGTCCGAAATAATGTCTCATATTTAGTAAGATTTTCATTACTTTTACAAACTATACTCCAGTAAATTTACTGATTGATATACAATGAAATAGCTTAGATCAGATGGTTCTCAATAAATTAACAAGAAGGAACCTAACATTCAGAGGGGAACTAATGAATCACAGAATGCCTCACTCGTAAAGTTAAGTAAACATCAGTAAATGTAAAAGGATAATAGCTCAGCATTTTGTATTTTCAGAGTGCTAGGAGCAACCTTGTAAATAAGCAGAGACCTTAAAAGGCGGAAGAGGAGAGAGACTGCTGAAATGTAAATTACTGAATAGTGACATTGTTGACAACTTTAACTTACCCTGATTCTGTCAGAAAAACTAATTAGTTTGTTCTCCAGGCCACAGAATGAAAATGATGTGACATTTTGCTCATCATCAGAAAATACAGGCCTAAATTCAGTCCTGAATTTAGTTTGGCAAGTTTTAAAAGCTGGACTAAAAGGCTGGTGTTTACGTTGGGCTTTTGTCTTTGTCTTTGTCTTAAGAACCCAAAGACATGCTTTAGAATTGTTACCTTCTTTTTTGTCCAAAGCTAAGAAGTTGTTGAAGGACTTGGATTTGAAATTGGCTCTTCGTCTTTCTGGCTTGTATGGTCTTGGGGGAAGTGTAATTGCCTCTCAGTCTCAGAATCGTCATTGATGCATAATAAACCTGATAAATAATGTTTGTGCAGGAGATTAGCCGGACACCTGGCCCAACCTAGGGCTTCCTTGATAAGTGTTGAGTCCAAAATGTGTGCAGAGAAAAAAGAAATGGAAGATTCCTGAGCTCTGTGGGCCTGCAGAGAGTCTGTAGCTTCCATCACTGACCATAGAGCTGAGCCAAGGAAAAGGGCACCTGTTAGAAGGGTGGGAAACTGAAGAGGCGGATGAGGGGGTGCTGCTGGGTAGAGACCAAGATAACCTGCAGCCAGCAGAGGCTCACCGCTGGGCCCAGGGACTTGTTGGGCTTCCTGCCTTGAATAGCACATGCATGCTCTTGGTGTGGTAGGATACAAAGAACAGTGGCTAAGGGAAAGATGGAGGGGGTGCCAGTTAATTCCTCCAGCCCTCTGAGGATACTGGAGTCTGAGGAAAAGAGGAGAATCAGCTTGGCTTCCAAAGCAAAGGCCTCAGCACTGCCAGACCCAATATTTCCTATTATTATAAATATGAGATGAAAGTTGTAAATTGTATAACCTTGCCTACCTATGTAATTTCAAAAGGGAATAATTCTCTAACTCAAATATGATGGAGAAATAAAAGGAAAATAATTTCTAATAAAGTAATACATATTTCAGTCTTATGGAGTCAAGAACTATACTGTCCCATTCCCAAGAGTTATACCAGACACTCTGATGCCTTGTTCCTCCTCACTGAGTGTTTTTATTTAAAAGGAGTGAAACATCCAGCTGAATATGCTCAGCCTTTTTACTTAAAATTGACATTATGAAGGAGGAGCAAAGCCTGAGTGTGTTTACATTTACTCACATATGAACAGAATTGCCAGTAATGCAGTAGCTCCAAATATAGACTATTGTAGGTATGTTTTACTGGAGGTTCTGACATCCTCAGTGGCATTGACTTTGCTGCTTTGATCTTTCTGAAATGGTGACAGCTCATTGATGACATTTCAGATAAAACAGAGCACAGACATTGCTTCATTTACATAATGATTATGTCTCCGGATAATTCAGTGTATGTTTAAACTGTCAAAAAGTTAGATTCTGGCTGGGCGCAGTGGCTCATGCCTGTAATCCCAGCACTTTGGGAGGCCGAGACAGACGGATCACTTGAGGCAGGGAGTTGGAGACCGACATGGCCAACATGGTGAAACCCCGTCTATACTAAAAATACAAAACTTATCCAGGCATGGTGGTGTGCACCTGTAGTTCCAGCTACTCAGGATGCTGAGGCAGGAGAATCACTACTACCCAGGAGATGCAGTGAGCCAAAATCACACCACTGCATTCCAGCCTGGGTGACAGTCTGTCTCAAAAATAAATAAATAAAAAGTTGGATTCTATAAGCCCACATGAAAGCCCCGCAGGGCGTTTGAAAGTTTCATGGGCAGTGGACAGTTCTTCCTGTGCGGGACTGTCTTGCACATGGTGCAGCAGCTTACATCCCTGGTTCCCACCGATAGACTAGGAGTAACACTCGCTGGTTATTATGGTATCTGAAAATGCTCTCACACAGGTCTAGAATGCTCCCTTTACAACATGACCTTACAGGGATATGAGGATAGAGGCGGAAACAAAATGAGGGGGTAAATTTGCTGTATTAAAGAATGGACTCAACTGAGCGCAGTGGCTTGTGCCTGTAATCCCGGTACTTTGGGAGGCTGACAAAGGAGAATCACTTGAGGCCAGGAGTTTGAGACCCACCTGGGCGACATGCAGAGACCCTGTGTATACAAAAAAAAAAAATTAGCCAGGGATGATGTGTACATCTGTAGTCCCGGCTACTCGGAATGCTGAGGCAGGATGATCTCTTGAGTCCAGGAATTTGAGGCTGCAGTGAACTATGATTGCATCACAGCGTTCCAGTCTGGGCAGCAGAGCAAGACCCTATCTTTGGGAAAAAAAAAAAAAGAATGGACGTTTCATGAATTCAGAATTGTCACTGTTTGCACTTGGTTTCTTTGACCACACATTGTTTTTAAAATAAAACCTCCTTTAGGATAAAAACTGCCATTCCTTGTTTTTCTGAATGTCATGGTAATGATTATTCCTGAAACCACTTAAAAAATTCTGTGTATTTCTGATGGTCTTATTTTTTTTTCTTTCTATCACCTTTTGTATGCACCATTACTTTAGCCTCCTGGGACTTTACAACCTTGATTTTTCTTGGAATTGTCTATGGTTACCTGTCTGTCTTAGCCAGGCTAATAGGTAGATACTGGTTTGATCTATTAATAGGTGATTTTCAAGGCTGGGTTCTTGATGTGATGTTGAGGGTTAGTGCCACCTGTAGCAGCTTTCTTGTCACCTGGTTATGACATTATCTTATTTCCAAGTGGGATTCAAGATGGAGAACCATCACTGTTTAATTGTTATCTGCTTATGGATGATTTTGATCATCAAGGGGAAGGACAGAATGTCTTGTTACCTACATAAGTATAACTCAGTACTGTAAAAAGCATAGCACTCCATCTAGCACAGAAAGTTATTTTAAAAATCGCTTGTGAGACTGAGGTGTTTTGTTCTTTTCCAGCTGACATCCCAGCATCCTTACGCTGAAGTTTTCATCGGGCGGCCACACGTGTGGACTGTTGACCTCAACAATCAGGAGGAAGTAGAAGATGCAGTGAAAGCAATTTTAAATCAGAAGGTTGGTTTCTTTTATTCTACTTTCCCTCATTTCTGATGTAACCTGAAATGGGTATAAAGCATCATAGGTCCTTGGCTTTAGTAAACAGATCTTTTCCACGTCAGCTTAACCCTGGAGTTAGAAAATAACCAAGCTGTAGGATTTGGCCCGGGGATTTCATGAATGTTCTGTGAAATGGAAACAGAGCTGGTATCCTGATATGGGCATGGATTCCATAGGCCATTTCAACATGACTCTGGATCCCAGGCACAGGAGCAGGAGCTGGAGTCATACTTGGTTCAGGGATCTGATTGTGTTGCTCTCACAAAGATCTAAAAAGATAGTCCTGCATCCTCTATAAAAGAGCAAGAAGAGCAAGGAATTACTGGGAAATGTTTTTATAGAAAATCTGTTTTTTTCCTACCTAAACATTTTGTAGAATTTTGTAAAAATAACTATATTTCTGGCCTCTTCTGATCAATTCAACAGACATTTGTCAGGTACTTGTCATACACAGAGTACTCTCTGAGCCACCTGGGCCTGGGGTTAGGGGACAGGGTGTTTACTTCCATAAACATAGAGGAGGCTGGCTTCCCACCTGTCAGAAGTTTACCATCCAGTAAAGACGAGTTCAATTAATCCTGTCTCCCAACTGAGCCTGCCGTGGACTTTCACAGCTACACTCTACTGCTGTACTTTGATGGGAGCACTGTTTACACTTGGTTATGATGCTTGAAGAGAAACCAGTGTGGGCATGTGGGAGGGCAGGCTGGATTCACACAGCGTGGGTTCAGTTCTAGCTCTACCACTTACTAGCAGCTTCCCTTCATTTATAATGTAGGCCTAATATTACCATTTTATTGGTCACTTGTGAGGAGTAAATGAGATAATTTATATAAAGTGCTTAAATTCAGTGTCCTACTACACAGTGTTTAGTCAATAGTAAGTATTCTGATTTTTGTTGATAGTCTAAATGTCTACACCATTAGCAACATGAAGTCAGGAAATACATGTCTCATTTCTGTATTACCAGTGCCCACATAGGGATTTTTTTACCCAGTGGATAGATGGGAGAGAGGAATAGATGTTTGCAAGTAAGTATAATACAAGGCTGAATATGTTCAGTGCCAAAGCAACATGCAAACACTCCAGGAGTGGAAGTTGTGGAAGCCTTTCTGGAGAATGCAGCCTTTTAGTTAAGTCTTATAGATGAAGATAATTTGCAAAGTAAAACTGAGAAGTGGACCCAGAAGGGCATGAGTTCAAAGCACAGTGTGACTGAAAGGGAAAAGGCTGGAAAGGCATATATCCTGGGAGGGATAGCCAGTTCACCCACGTGGAGGCTGTCTTACCCCTTTGGGAAACAAAATAGGATAATCAATTTGTGGCCTGAGGAACTGCTGATGTCAGTTAATTCAGAACATCTCCAGGGGAGTGAGGGCACTCTGATGCATTATCTGTGTTCTGTCTGCTTCAAGGTGATCTGGTTATGGGGCTTTGGTGTCAGCTTCCCATTGATGATACATACAACCCCAATCCTAGTCTGAGCAGTTTAGGGCAGAAGTCCCCAACCTGAGGAGACGAGCTGATAAAAAAAGTACCAAATGGAATGTGATTCCTCTATGCTGCCTCAAAATATCTGCCACACGCCTAAAGCTTCACCACTGGAGTCATTCCTGTGGAGGGTGAAGGTTCTTCTTTCTTGATTCTCCCAGTCCCTTAGTATGTGAGCTTCCTAGGGCTGTAACACACTAGTACAGACAACTCAGTGGCTTAAAGCAGCAGAAATGTGTTCTCTCTGTCCTGAAAGCAAGAAGTCTGAAGTCAAAATGTCAACAGGGTCACGTCCTGCCCCTGAAGTCTCTAGTTGGGTATCCTTGCATCTTTCAGCTCCTGGTAGGCCTAGGCGTTCCTTGGCTTGCAGCCTCAAAGCTTTGATCTCCGCCTTTGTTTTGTGTCTTCTCCCTGTGTTTGTCTCTGTCTTTTCCTTTTATGCAAGATTAGGGCCCAGCCTAATTCAGTGTAACCTCATCTAACTGTGTTACATCTGCAAAGACCCTAATTCCAAGTAAGATCACATTCATGGGTACTGGGAGTTAGGGCAGCATATCTTTTGAAGGGGCACAGTTTAATCCATAACACTTAGGGTAATGTGTGTGCTCTTGAGGAGAGGAATTTAAAAGCTGAGGTAGAGGCAGAAAAGAAAAACACACCAAGAAACATTATCATCAAACTGCTGAAAAGCAAGGATAAGGAAGAAAACCTTGAAAGCAGCCAGAAAAAAATGTATTACATTAGAGGAATAATGGTATTAAAGAAGCCAATTTCTCATCAAAAATAATGGAGACCGTAAAAGGGTCCTCAGGAGCCAGAATATGTGGGGCCTTTCAGTAGGCCATGGTAAGTGTTCAGGGGTTTTTTTATGGAGTATTTTTGTGGGTTTTTTTTTTTGGGGGGGGGGTGTTTTTAGTTTGTTTTTAAGTGTGTTCAGGATTTTATAAGTATGATGGGAAGTTTTGAACAGGGGAATGAGATAACCTAGTTTACATTTGAAATCATGAAGAGAAATTACAGATTCTGCTTAACTCAAAATCCTATAGTTAGTAAATGGAGGAGCCATGAGTCAAACCCTGGCCTCCTGGTACCTTCTAAGACCGTTTCTTACTGAATGATGTCAAACCACATCTGTCAGGTCAGACCATGGAGGGCTTCTCATGGAGGCTGATCTCTGAAAGCAGTTGCCTGTAGGAGTTATTCCCTGACTTGGAAAGGTGAGTGGGTACTAGTGGAGACAGGAGATCTCACAAGAAGGGAGGTCAAGAGGAGAAAATGGAGGGGAAGATAAGGGAAAGTTTCCAAGGTCAGCAGGAACTTCACAGTGCCATCTGCAGGCATCCCTCCTGTGGCCCTTGCCATACGAGTAACAGTCTTTTTTTAAATAACAAAGCAGGATACCCAAGAATACTTCCTTGCTTCTCCATAGGTGTCCCAGCTTGGGTTTCTCAATGACTGGATATGATTTAGCATTCTCCTTCACTCTGTCCCCCAAAGAGGCCTTCATTTGTTCCTAAAGAACTTTTATGCAGAAAACTGCCCACTCTCCCACCTCCCCTGTCCACATAACAGCTTTCACTTCCAGGGCTTGCCAGAGTTCTCGAGAGCTTTCCAATGCAGAAGGCCCTGCCTGCCCTCACCCACAGCGTCCAGCAATATAGACCTCCCTCCCTCTCACCCCTCCTCTCCCTCCCCTCCCTTCCTCACTTCCTTCCCTTCTTTTCTCCCTCCTTCCTTCCTTCCCTCCCATCCTTGCTTTTTGCTTGTCCTTTACAGGAAAATTGTTTGGCTTCATATCCTTTAAAATAGTGAATGGCCCCAAAGCAGTGAATGAGTCAACATCCCTTTGGTTAAACTGGGCTTGGTTGGTAGGAGGACAGAGGAAGAGTCATTTTTCTGTATTTCTGGCTCTGAACACTTTGAATTAATTCTCTTTCGTTTTCTAAGGGATTCCCTTTGGATATGTTGTTGGAATGGCACTTGAGTACGTGGCATGCTTCCTAACACATAACGAAATCTGTTTATCTCGTGAAAGATGACCAATGGATGTTTATTTCACTCTACAAATCCTACTTTAACACTGATTAATGAACCCAGATATGCCGTGTTTTCTGTTTTAAATCATTTCTTCTATGAAACTTTTGAGAGGAAACATCTCTAGGCCGGCAGTATGTGTGTCCCTAGTCCCAGCTACTCAGGAAGCTAAGGCAGGAGAATTGACTGAACCCAGGAGGCAGAGGTTGCAGTGAGCCAAGATCGTGTCACTGCATTCCAGTCTGGCAAGAGAGTGAGACTCTGTCTCAAAAAATAAAAGAAAAAATTTTGACATTTTGTGTGAAGGGCTGTGTCTGGGTTAGAGAGGGAACAGTACGTTCAAAAGCTTGAGTTGCCAAGGAACTAACTGAGAACATGAAAGTCAGTTCTTCAGAGTATTTTGAGCTCTTCAGAGATGAGCTGTCTAGGAATAGAGTGACCTCTCTGTTCTTGCAGAATAGTCTGCCATAATATTACAGTATTTACGGCTTAGCCTCTTTTAGCTATATTCAGACAGATGTAGGCCACTGTGGCCCACATTTATCCATTTGCTCAGCATTTGAAGACAAGTAAAATTTCTGAACATCATGGTTGAAGATTTTGATTTAATGTGTGATTTGACACACAAGAAAAGGGGAGAAGATGCCCTGAGACCAACTGCTTGGCTGCCACTAAGGAGTGTTATTTCTGTTCATTGTCCCATTTTCAGCAAGCTTCTGGTTTGCCTAGTTCTCCACCCTATAGACTTAAGCAAAGACTTAGGAAGTAGCTGGTGAAGGTGCCCCCCGTCTACCCTGTTGCTGAGAGGAGCTGTTGGGCTCTCTGAAGCAATAATAGACTATATTGCTGGTGATTTTCTCCCAAATGAAATTTCCATTTTAGATTGGTAATGCCCCTGAAAACACAGGCCTCATAGTGTAGGCAGACACTGTGCAACAGAGATGAAACCCACATTTCTTCCCCTTCTCTAAGGTGTCACAGTATTCATAAGATTGCCTCCTCTACCCTAAAGAAGCATCCTCTAGAGTTCCCTACTCCTCTCAAATAAAATCTAGGCTCTTTGATATAGAAATCTCAAGCCTTTTTTGGAAATTCAGTGAATTTTCCACCTTATCTCACCAGCTTCTGTAACACTGAACTGCAGTTACCTGCTGTCCTTTCATGTTAGAGAGCACACTACTTGCTCCACCAAGGATGTGTTCAGCATCTTGGCCCTCCCCAGTTTGGGCTTGCTAGACTCACAGCCTGCCTTAAAAGCCCAGCATGAGTAGAATTCTACTTTGACTCTTTAGCCTCCCACAACCTCCTAGCTGAACTCCTTGTGACACTCTTTATTTTTGCACCCTGAATTCTTTGGGTACATGCTGATCTCCCCTACTAATGCAGACCAATGCTTTGGTCACTGTTATGGATCCTTAAACTGCTCGTTGTGTGCATTGTATGCTTTAGAGCAGTGACCAGGCATTCATTCAACTGATGTTCACCAAGTTCCTACATGTGCCACACTATGCCCAGCACTAGAATGCAAAGATGACCCAACAGCATGGACTCTGCCCTGTGGAACTTACCTGCTAGCAAGTGATAACTGCCACCTTTTTTGAATGCCCACTATGTGCTAGACAGTACACTAAGCACCTTTTTTCTCCCAGATAGTCTTCACAGCTTAAGAAACACAAGTTTTTCTTATTACCCCTTTATATGCGAGGAACCCAAGACTTAGAGATGGCAAGTAGTTTCCTTAGAGACCCATAACTAGTAAGGATCACAGTAAGATCATGACTTGCAAGTCCATAGTCAGCCCTCATGAGGCCACCTCCTGGTGTTAGCACCGTGTATTGAGTGAGTCGGTGGAGGACTGGGCAGGCAGTAGATGCTCTCTGTCCTTCTCCTTCATGGTATCATGTTCTTTTTCCACAGATTGAGCCATACATGCCATATGAATTTACATGCGAGGGGATGCTACAGAGAATCAATGCTTTCATTGAAAAACAGGTAAGCCTCATTAGAAGTCAGTTTGTCTTTGCTGTGTACTGCTTCCTGTTACCCCATTGGGCTCTCAAGAACAGTTAAGCACTCACTGTTTTTCTGTGGCTATTTTCCTGTTCTGGGATTCTCTAGAATCTGAGATTCTAGATAATCTGGGATTATAATATAGATAATTCTAGGTAATATAGATAATTCTCTAGAATCCCAGATTCTAGATAATCTGGGATTATAATATAGATAATTCTAGATAATATAGATAATTCTCTAGAATCCCAGATTCTAGATAATCTGGGATTATAATATAGATAATTCTAGATAATCTGGATAATAGTAGCACTGTCATGATCACCCAAGAGAACCAGTATTCCCTTGGAGTAGATATGTTCCTGATGACAGTAGAAGGTGAAATGGAAACTTATAACAGGAGAGATGAGATGGTTACTGTAAAGATGCCCCTGACTGTCGTGCCCTGACTGGGTTCTGAGGCTCATCAGGAAGACTTGGGAGGGGAGAGAGACAGACAGCTTTCTGTTCCTGCCTCATCTTCATTTCTCACCTTAAGAAAGGCAAGAATAAGCAGCTGTTTCTAACCATTCTTTTAATAATACATGTTCAGCAATTCTAAATGTTAGGACTTTTTAGAGGTTTTCAGACATCTTCTAAAAGCAAGACCCTTTGTCAAATGAAACCTTGTAATAAGTATATAAAACAAATAAAAAGCAGGACAAAGCTAAGGAGGTGCTGAGAGTCCCACCTTCCCCAACAAGGTCTGGAAACTGCAGCATGTGCTCCTGGAAGTAAAGGCCAGGAGCCTGTTGCTGTCATTTTATAACGTTTTCATTCCTTGGACTTCAAAAGCAACTTAGAGCTAGAAATAGACAGACTCAGAACCCCTATGGGTAGGAGAATATGAACTCTTTGACTAGATTCCAGAAATAAGGTGCTCTTCTTAAAGGGTAAAGCTTTTTTTTTTTTTTAAGGCAATCAAAGGATCTTTACACAATAGGGGATGAGGATGGTGCAAGCTGAAAATAGAAATGCTGTGTTGAAAATCTAATTAGGCCCAAGGTGGGCTTCAAAGGAAGACTTGGTGGTTTGAGGAGACTGAAACTCTGGCGAGCAGCCGACAGTCCTGGGTGCTGCCGTTGGAGCTGGGAGCCATGGTCATGTACTTCAGGGTGTGGTGTGTCTGATACGCTGAGATTTGTCAGCAGCAAGAGGACATGCGCTACAGCCAGGCCATGTGGGGTTTACTCCTGGCACCATGTGTTTCTAGTTGCATGACTTCGTCATGTTACTTGGCCTCTCTATTCCTTAGTTTCCTTATCTGTAAAACAAGGACGATGCTGATGGGACCTACTTCATAGGGCTGATGTGAGAATTGAATGAGCTAAGACATACAGAGTGCTTAGAGCAGAGCCTAAGTGCTCAATAAATGCAAACTGGTACTGTTGATTATTTATATATTATGCTATATTGTATTGTAATATACTACTTTGTAATATAATTACTTGGTTTCATGAGAAACCATTTCAATCTTTATCTTATTCCGCCCTTATATGACACCGGATTGGCAGTATCATCACAACTCTACCAACCACATCCATACAGATTTTGTGCCAGTGTGTGCCAAACACATCATAAAATATCATCTTATTTAATTCTCACAGTAATTCCTGGAGCTGGTAGTAATAACCCCATTATTTAGATAGTGGAAACCAAGACTCACAGTTGTCAGACTCACAGGTTGTGGAATCAAATTCAATACTGGTTTGATGCGAGGCCAAGTGTGCACCAACAGTACTTACCAGGACATCAGGAGATGGAAGGTGTCCAGAGCTTTGCTTCCCATCTTCTTGCATCTTCAAGGGCTGCTTACCCTTCCTGCAGCTGCAGGGAAGAGCTACAGGGCCTCCTTCAATTGTGTGTCTTAAGACATCACAGCTCTTGCCGCCATCTTGGTGGCTATCTTGAGATCATACTAAGATCCCTAACAACTGCTGTTGAACCCTCTTTGCCTGTCTCCACTTCCTCTTAGGGAAAATAGTTGCTCAACCACTAAGCATAAATAATTCTTGATCAGGCTTATTTGAAGGCTTTTATTTCTCCCCTGAGGCTCAGGAATTCCAGCCAGTCTTTAAATGTTATCAGGTCCTCTGTAACTCTTGCTGGGTTTCCTTTCAAACAGGAAGGTCGTGTTCCCCAAATAGTCCTAGCTAAATGCTCCATAATGCAGAGGCTCCACCTGGCTTCACCTCTGTATCCCTAGTACCCTGCTATTTACATGGTCAGTGCACAGTAACTTTCAGGTGACAGAAACAGTGAATGAATGAATGAATGATGAGTGTGCTTTTTATTCCTGTGTGTCAGGAACCAGGAAGCTCATCATGGGCCTTATGATTTGGAAAGCATGTTACTAAAATTGTCTGCTGGAAAGCATAGTAATAAAACTGCACCCCGTAACCTCCACCATGTAGGCTTTTCTGCAGAGATCTGCAGTTCACAGAAATCCAGAGGTTTTTTGTTTGTTTGTTTTTGTTTTTGTTTTTTTTTGCCTGCTGTTGTTGATTCATTCCTCTACTCTGAATATTTGTTAGCTGGAGCATGCCACGGACTGTGTGGTCAGTTGGGGTGGAGGAGATCTCCGAGTCCCCATCCCTGCTCTCAAGTAGCTACAAGTTTCATGGGGAAGGCAGCCAAGCCCACAGGCAGTGCCATTGCTGTAGGTTCAGCTTAGTAATAGTGAAGTAACGGGATGCTTTGGGATCACATAGCTCAGCCTGCAAAGGGAGGAATGGGGAGAAATGCTAGAGTGTATCCAAAGGCATCTTGCAGGAGGTGAGTCCTGAAGGCAAACTGGTAGCACAGATGGAAGGCTGGATAAGTCCAGATGTAAAGGCCTGGAGAAAAAAAAAAAAATTGTCCTGGGGAATTATAGACACTTGACTGAAGGAGAGGGATGAGGTAAGAGACCAGGCTAGAGGAGACTGCAGAATGTGAAAAGATGCTGAGGCTTAGCTGAAGAATTCCAGTTTGATTCTAGGATAATAGGAAGCTAAAGAAAGGCTTTGTCACAGGCAAAGGGGCAGTGAAACTATCAAATTGGTGCTTAGAAAAATCACTCCAGGAACCTTGTGTTTGGGCATTTCTTATTAAACATTGTCCAAATGCTCCTAAATGAGCATTAAAGGGAGCCTATTTTGAGTTTATCGCAGAGATTCTGTTGAACCCAGAATGTTCCCCTGATGCCAGAAGGAAGATGGGAAGCCAAGACCCCATTGGTTCACAGATTGGGTTTTCTACTTCTTTTAGATGCAGGCCCCAGTATTTTATAGGTTGGAATATCCGTTATTTTTTGCAACTAGACAAATATCGTCAAAGAGCAGCGAGGTTGGAGAGGTATTCCTGGTATGAACAGGAAAGTCTGAGCTCCGAGGAGGTACTTCCTATACCTTGAATGGTAGGAGCATTGCAGCCCTAATTAGGCTGATAACTGCCTTCAGAGTTATCCAGGTGACCTGCAAGGAGAACACGGAAGCTTTTACCCCAAAAGACTTTCAGGTTGTCCATCACACTCAGCCAGTGGCCACCAGAAGGACCCAAGTGACAGTAATTGAGGGCACCCTGGGCTTCAGTGTACAGTTGAGCAGTCACCAGCAGGAAACTCACCTCATACCCAACCCTCCTTGGGTGCAGGCACCCAATGAGAAACACTCCTGGATCTAGGAAAACCACTTGCTCTTTCCTGTTAATGTCCCCACTCCCTTTACTGTACTAAAAATGTTGATTCAGAGTGCATGCTCTTTTAAATCAGCTCTCTAAAAGAGATGCTGTCTCCAGCAGGGGGAAGTTCTTTGTAATCTAAGATCAAGCACTGTTGTTCCCTATCCTGAATGCTGCTGGGCTCATTAAGGTTTTTGTTATGCATATGTTGGGAAAGTCTGGATTAGCCTCAGGTCAGAGAGTATAGCAGGGCTCTTTTGAAGGAATGGCAATTTCAGATTGATTTATAAAAACCATACATATGCTCTTGAATCCTATTTTCTATTTTCTGTAAAGACACTGGAAATATGTAGGATGGTCACAGTCATGTTAATTTATAAAGAGCTGTGTAATTCATGTGAGAAGCATTCTGAAGAGATGGAAGGTGAAAAATAGAGTTAACTCCAAGGATGGCTGTGGAATCAGCTGAAGGTCCCAGGATGTCCGTTCATCAGAGCCTAAAATAAGCTCACTGTGGAGTGTTCTGGATGCAAGGATAAGCCTGTTGCGAATCTGGATGGTCCAAGAGTGGGAGCAATGATGGAGGTGACAGATTGCAAGGAATTAGGAAGAAAGTGAAAAGAGAAGGTTGGTACTAGCTTGAGGAATGTTTACTCTTGAGAAATCAATAGCTCTTCTTTACCAGTCACTTTCTGCATCCAAAGAGACAGGGCAGGTAATGATTTAGCACTGAACCCGAGCGGCTGACTGCCTGTGTTCACATCTTGGCTCTGCTTGCCACTGTGTTTCTGACCTTGGGCTAGTTACCTAACATCTCTGTTGTCTGTCCTCTTCGGAGAAATAGGGATAATGGAACCTACCCATCAGGCTAGTGAAGGAAAGAGTAGTTGATAATGTTTAGCACTAAGAACAATGCCTGGCCCATGTGGGTGCCCTCAAAGCCTTCGCTATTTGTTGCTGCAGGAGCCCAGAAACAAACCAAGGTGTGTTTTTCAAACTGGCTCATTGACGTGTTCACTGCATCTAGAGATACAATTCAATGTTTTTTTTGTTTTGTTTTGTTTTTAGCAAATTGGTAGTGTTACACAACTACCACCACACTCTAGCTTTGCGGCATTTTCATCACCCCAAAAAACGCACTTGTCCTTGTTAGCTAGCAGTCAGTCCTTGCTGCTACCCCAGCCCTAGGAAACCACTGATTTGTTTCCTGCCTTTTTAGATTATTCTTTTCTGGAGATTTCTGGCGTCTTTCACTTAGCAGTATGTTTTGGGGGTTCACCTAT